CCTCCCCCCAGGTTCCCATTTTCCCATGCACTGTTGAGATGGAAATCATAGTTCCATCTAACCTAATAATTTGGCCACGTTTTTGTATTAGTAAACTTAGAAAAGATGTTAAAATCATTGAATCTTTCTACATTTCTGTTCACTTTGTTTTTAACCTTTTTATTTCACTTCAAAGTATAACAGACAAGAGGAAAAGTGCACAAAGTAGAATTCAATTAATACAAAATGAACACTCACATGATCATCTTCCAGGTCAAGAAATACAACATTGTTTACATGCCCAGAAGCTCCCATCATGATTAGTCCCCCCTTTTCCTCCTAGATAACCACTTCTAAACTCTGTATTTCCATTTTACCTGGTTTTGACTTTTATATAAACCAGGACACACCTAGGAATAGAATCACTGCTTCATGTGATATGCTTACATTCAACTGTAGTTAACTACCAAACTATTTTTCCAAAATTTATTCCCATTGTGCCACATCCTTGCCAACACTTGGTATCATCAGTCTTTTTCATTTTAGCCATTAAATAAATTAGAGATTATGATTCTAAGATGGCCAGTTCACAAGGATTTCCTCCCCTTTATTTTGAGAAATGTTTAGACTTGCATAGAAATTACAAAAATAGCACAGAAGGTTCCCATGTACCTTTCACTCACCCTGTCCCAATGATAAATCTTATATGGCCATGATATAATTATCAGAACCAGGACATTGACATTGCTACAATACTATAAACTATGGGCCTTAATTTAGATTTTACCTGTTTTTACATATATTCATGTATGTGTGTGTGTATATAATTAAAAATTTAAGGTGAGTTAATGGGTCTTCTGGTGTTTGAGAGGTAAAGTTCATGCTAAGGGAAAAGCCAGTAGAATCTGCAGTACCAGACAAAATGTCCTTTAATATGTAAGTTGCTTTTCCAATTATTACCCAGAGTCATTGAAGGGAAGGGAGGCTAATTGTCAGGAAAGCTAGACACTCTCACACATTTCACAGTCCACATCTACCTGCTGGGATGAGTCCCAGGTTCACTAACTGAAGACTACATGTTGTTACGGCACACTCAGAACGGAAGATCTGGTGATGACAAATGATGTTCTCCAAAGTAGCAGGCTCTTCAGTCCTGCCTGACTTTTTACTTGATGATTTTGTGTGAGGCCAGTGAGACACCTTCCTGCTGACACCTCTACAGTGATCCCTCATTTCTCCCACCTTTATTTTATATAACATCCAAATGATTACCAAACTATCTCTGGTACAGACCTTTATACTGAAAGTCACACCAGTATATCCAAACTGATGAATCTATTTCTCATATTTTCTTCCAAGCAGCCAAGGAAGAAGGCCATAAGCAGTTCCAGTCTACATTATACTTATGGCCCCCAGAAAAAGCATTAGTACATCAAATTGTTCTAATACTTTGGCCACCCGATGCGAAGAGCTGACTCATTAGAAAAGGCCCTGGTGCTGGAAAAGATTGAGGCAGGAGGAGATGGGGACGACAGAGGATGAGATGGTTGGATGGCATCACAGACTCAATGGACATGAGTTTGAGCAAGCTCCGGGAGATGGTGAAGGACAAGGAAGCCTGACGTGCTGTGGTTCACGGGTCGCAAAGAGTCAGACACGACTGAGAGACTGAATGACAACAACAACATCAAATTGCAGGGAACTATGTTCTTGACTCTGCTGGGATCATGTGCTCAAAAGAAATTAATCACATGGCCAAGGCCTGACCAGCCTGGAGCTTGTTTCCCCTGCATCAGGGGCAGTCGATGCCCCACTCATTTACCACTGACAACCCCAAAGATTACCTGCAGATGGTTCCTGTACCATCTCATGGGTTTCTCTGTTGAGTCCTCTGGCCCTTAGACTGAGCTCAGCTAGCAGGGCAGGCTAAAAATGCCAGAGTTAACTCAGGAGCAAGCTGTAGCCAGTGAAGCCAAGAGTTGGAGGATAAATACCCCTGCTTCCTTTCTTTTCAGTGGGATAATTCTATGCTGTATTCTGTCCAGGCATGTAGAAGGGTTCTCCCTCACTGATGCACCCTTTATTTGCTTTCCCTCACTTCTCTCACTTCCTCTTTCCCTCATTGTTTTCGTGGATAACCTCTTAGGTCAGGTTCTGCTTTCTGGGGAACCAAAATTAAGATAGGTTCTGTAGAGGGAGGAGGCCAACTGAACAGTCCCATCAAGACCATATGGACCAGCAAAAGTTCTTGGACTCCAAACTACATCTGTTAGTGGCGATAGCCTTGCTTATGTCCCACTTTCAAATAGAGCTTAGCATTGGCTTCTGTGGCGAGTTAGACAATAGGTTAGTATCCAAGATTCTCCTGAGCTGGTTGTTTCCCTGAAGCCAAGGAAGAAGCTGAGAAATGTATGCTAGAACTCCAAGGAAAAACTGGTGGGAGGCTTTTTCACGGGCCGATGGAAAATGGAGAGGACCTAACAGTAAGCCAGGAACTACTTGGCTTTTAGGTAACCAAATCACAGAGAATCCTGGGCTCAGAGATCATCACAATATGGTATATATAATGCTGAGCAGAGAACAATTGCCACCTCTGTTCAGTGTGGACAATTTGCTACTAACAGAACAAACATGTTAGAACATGGGCTAGAAAGACGAAACATGAGGGTCAGCATAAACCTTAGAGCATGTTCATGAGTCCATAACCATAAAAAAAAAAAAGTCCATAAACCTTACAAGTCAATGTGAAACAGCCTTACAAATCCCCAATTCCTTAGTGTATTTTCCATCATTCTCCCCAGGCGTAAAATACAGGAAGAGTGGCACCTAAAGATGACAATCAGGCAAACTCTGCCTCACAAACCTCCTGCTGGTTCTGTCCCTTAACTGGGGGACACCTCAGGGGGAATTTGTTGAGTAGATTCACACTGAAGTTGAGCTCAAGAATTGTGTAGAAATATGGCGCTTTAAATTAAAGAATTGAGATCTTAGGGGCCCTGGGACTTGATTTGCTGCCACACTGCCTGCCCTCTACAACATTTTTTTTTAAGATTTATTTATTTTTTTATGGCTATGCAGGGTCTTCGTTGCTGTGCGAGGGCCTTCGCCAGTTGTAGCAAGCCAGGACTACTTTCTAGTTGCAGTGGCCAGGCTTCTCTCACTGCAGTGGTCTCTTGTTGCCGGGCACAGGCTGTAGGCTCATGGGCTCTAGCTGTGGTGCATGGGCTGAGTTGCTCTGCGGCATGTGGGATCTTACCTGACCACAGACCGAACCCATGTCCCCCTGCATTGACAAGCAGATTCTTTACCACTGAATCACCAGGGAAGCCCCTTCTACAACATTTTAAAAGAATCTAGAATCTAGATTTATCACAAGAGAGAAGGCTGCTGTACATCAGTCTTGTGCTTTGGGAACTGTCAAGCTCCCAGCTGCTGGGTGCTGTCTGCAAAGCAGGCAGCAGCTGCAGTGGGAGGCAGCTTAAAAGGCTCCATAATCTAGGAAGGGCCTCTGAGAAGTTCTTATTTTACCATAGAATTCAGGCTTTCAGTCAGCTTGGCCAGCAGCTGTGACCCATCTGAACCTCAGTTTATTCTAAGAAACAAGGAATTCAGCCTTCCAACATGTATTTGGCATAGTGGGTTTTCTTCTTAACTGCCAATATTTAAATAATGAGAAATTTTGTATAAATTTAGGGGCCAGAGTCATCAGGCCAGGATGTTCAGAGAGGCCTAAGGGAGATTTCCTAGTGCTGTTCCTAATGCTGAGATTAGGAAGTGAGAAAAGTTGGATCTAGTATCTAAGCTGTGAATGCTGCCAGATTTTTTGGAAAGAGAAGAAAACCCAGGGAATCTGGTCCACCCTGCAACCACTGAAGATAAGCATTGGCTGCTGTTGCAGTGGGGCTGGCCCTACGCAGCTCACCACAGTCCTGACCAGGCTCACCTCCCTCACTTCAGATTCCTGCTGGTCCATCTGGCTTTTGAGTTTATGATCCTCGAACTAAATGGTTCCTTCAGCTCTAACATGCAGTAATAACAATGACAATAGTTACCGCTTATCAAACCATTCCAGTGTTTCAGGCACTGTGGCAAGCAATATAAATACATCAGCTAGTTTCAGACTTACAAAGGTGGTATTATTAACCTTACTTTTTAAATGAGAGGACTGAGGTACAGACCTGGAGGTAAATTTGCCCACTATCACACTGACCAGTAAGCAACAGAGCCAAGACTAGAACCTGGGGCTAACAACATCCAAGGCCTGATTCTAACCATCACATTATCCTGACATTATCACTGTATCTTTGTCAGCCTCACTCCAGTGCAGCTGGAGCTGGAACTGCAGCTGGTGTCTTATCATTTAAATACCCCATATTCAGGAGCCAAGCTGTAGAAATGCAGGTGAGTGTGTGCCCAGACAGCCGATCAGGAGATGGGGAGATGATGGAGAACCTTGTTGGTCACAGCATCTAGTCACCTGAGACCAAAGTGCTTCAGAGCTGGCATCAAGAGGGGAAACTTCCCGGAGGCAATGTTTTGGACTCGCTGCTCCCAATGCTGGGGCCCAGGTTCAATCCCTGGTCAGGGAACTAGATCCCACATGCAGCAAATAAAGGTCCCACATGTTGCAACTAAAACTCAGCACAATCAAATATTTTTTTTTCAAAAGAGAGAAGACAAGGGAGATGAGCTTGGGTTTCTGGGGAGGCAATAGGGGAAAGGCAGGCTAGTCCCCTGTTAGAGGCCTTGGAGAGAACCCCCAGCTCCTCCTAGTGCTGGGAAAGGCAAGTGGGAGGTGAGAGCATTTACAGATGGCTGATACCTGAGCTGCTGGTGTGGGCAGGAACCATCCTGGGTATATGTGGTCGGGCTGGAGGTCCTGGTGAGTGGGAATGAGGTGGTTTCCTGAGCTGGGGGGCAGTGTGAGCCTCAGAGTCATGGGGCTTCAGGGCCTCTCTACCCTCCTTGCTTGAGTGGTTGTCTGTGGTGACCAGGAGGCTCCTTTGCAGGAGGCAGCCCAGCTACCTCACAAGAGAAAAAATAGCATTGGAGCCCTTCTTAGGTGCAGAAACACAGCAATTTACCCAAGGCCTCCGGACCACGGCCACGTGCAATAATACATGGAAGTGGGAGGGGAAGGGAGGAAAGGTCACGTCCGAAGGCGCCTCGGCTCGGCCCAGGGGGCTGGGACGCCACACACCTGGCCCGGCGGGGAGCAGGCAGGAAGAGGCGCAGTCTGGGGGTGAGGGCACCAAGCAGTTCCGCGGGTGACCCGGAGCCCTGAGCCCGGCGGCTTGGCTGAGGTCCCACATGCGAGACCCGGAGCGGCCCCTGCGAGAACCGAGAACGCCCCAGGCAGGTGGCAGCGCCTGGCGGGGAGGCCGACGGAGGCAGCTCTCCAGCCCCGCTGGGGAGCCGGGTGCGTCCGCGTCCCACCTGTGTGAGGGCACCTAGCCCGCGGGAGGAGGCGCGGGAGTCCGAGGCGGGTCGGATTCCCAGCCAGCTCTCTCCTCACAGGAGGCGGCCCATTATCCGGCGTCGTTAAAGAGCAATTAGATGGAAATTAAGCCGAGAACAAGTATTGATTATCTCATTAAGGCCGGGGGAGCCCTGTCTGTCGTCGAGAGTTTACCGCGGCTCACCCCATTATCTGCAAGGTGAAAGCCTGCGGTCATCAACACCTAGTGAAGTATCGATCTGGTCCCAAACCCCGTCCCACCCCTTCCCTCTAGAATGAGGGTTCTAAGAGGTGACATTAGGGGTGTGAAAAGGTGGAGGAAGAACTCGGCCCCCCACTCTCTCTGTCCTAGCTCGTTCTCTGTAGTTGCCTTCCTTTCCTGCTCCCAAATCATTTCACACCCTGGTGCTGGCCAGGGGCGTGGTTGTAGGTGTGGAGACTGGAGAGGAAGGTCACAGGTAAGTCACAACCCTCCAGGCCTGGAGAGATGAGACTCCCCTAGTTTTACACCTAAGGAAGAGAAACTAGAGTTGAGACTTCATGGAAAGAATTTGCCCCAGCTGACACAGCATACAGGGCACCTCCGGGCCCCAAGCCCCTGGAGGGAGGGGGGAAAGGCTTCATTCTGGTTGACCACCATCACCAAAGGCAGAGACACCTGGGACCACCCCACAGATTTCCCAATGCTTAGAAACCTCAGAATTCAGAAGACATTTCCTCAGGATCCCAGATGATGTGACATTTGGAGAAAAATCACAGTGTGTTGGAGACAAGAATTTTTTTCATCCTAGCTTTGCTTCTAATTTGGTTGTGTGATCTTGGACAAGTCACTTTGCTTCTCCAGGCCACAGAATCCTCTAAGGAATGGAATCGAAAGAGCTCTATGGCTCTTGAGTCCTCAGACACCATGATCTGACCAACGAACTGCTGAGCTCCTGCCTGGTAGGGGCTTCCCAGGTGACTCGGTGGTAAAGAATCCACTTGCCAATGCAGAAGATTCAGGTTCAATCCCTGAGTGGGGAAGATCCCCCCTAGAAGACATGGCAACCACTCCAGTATTCTTGCCTTGGAAATCCCATGGACAGAGGAGCCTGGTGGGCTACAGTTCATGTGGTCACAGTAGAGTTGGACATGACAGTGACTAAACAACAAGAACCCACAGGTAGACACTAGGGAGGCAGCTGAGTGCCCAGCTTCTGCCCACACTCCACAAGCTATGACTTCAATGGAGAGACAATATCAAACTGATAATCACAGAAATAGTAATTCACAATTATGATATGAATTAGAAGAGTACAAAAAAAAAGAATTAGAAGAGTACAGATGCTGTGAGGGTGTTTTAAGAAGAGGGTGGTGGAATTTACATAGGAAACATTTCCATTAAACACACACACACACACACACAGGGAACAAGCCTGTTGCCCACTCATCCACTGACCACAAAATTACTGAAGGTGCTCCACACTTGATCTTAGCTAAAAGGCCGAGGCTCCAGAGCCCATGGTGAGTAAAGCGATGGTCCCTTCCACCTGGAAGCCGGCTTCAAGTAGGGGAGGGAGACAATGACATAATAAACAGATAAAGGTAAAAGTACACGCATGGTCCCTGTACTGAAAAATATGACATGAGGATATGAGTGAGAATAAGAAAAGGAATTTATTTGGAAGAGGGGTTCAAGGGAACCTCTCTGAGAAAGCAAAGATCAGTCCATCATTTAAAATCGAAAGTCCTTCAATCAAACCCGCGGGAGGAAGGGAGAGGGCTCACCTTCCTCCCCTATTGGCCTAGCCTCAGACCTCTGCCCAGGTCGGAGATGGAGAAGGCACTCCTGACCCTCTTGTGGGGCTCACTTGATGGAAAGGAGGTGGAGAGGGATGGCGGCTGGTGGTGCGGCAGGCACTAGGTTGGCCAGCGCGGAGCGAGCGGCGCTGCAGCGATGTCTGGGCTCATCTCCCTACCCCGGAGCCCGGCAACTATTAATCTTGGTTGACGGTTTCTAATGTCCTAATTGGTAGGTGGGGAGAGCGGCCCAGTCCGCCCTAAAGGTAGAAGCAGCTAATGGGCCTCTTCATCACCGCCAGGAGAGAGTCCCTGGCGGAGAGCGAGGGGCGCTTCAGCAGGTGAGACGCGGGGCTGGCAGCGACCCTTAACGAAGCTGCGGGAGCGGCGGCGGACGGTGAGGGAGCCGGGGAGGGAGGTGGTTCCGGGGGTGAGAGAAGAGGTCGCCCATTCCCGCCCGGCAACCCAGCTCCGAGGCTCACCTGGGCACACATTAGCTGAAGAGACCTCCTGGGGCTCAGTGTTGGGGGTGAAGGTGCTGGGTTAGCCTTGCGCAGATAGGAATCTTTTCAGAGGCGACAGGAGCTGGGTAGGATATACACGGAGAGGAGGAGTGTCTGAAAGCCCAAGCCCCTCTACCGTAAGCAACGGCTGGGCACGAAGTGGGCACTCATGATGTGTGTTGACCTAGGAGGCCTGGGCCCTACCTGTGCGGGTAAGTAGATGTTAGGTGCAAGTGTGAATTCGCGGGCCTCTGGGACCCCATAACTCCGGAGCTCCTGGTCTTTCCATAGTTGTGTCCCTTCCCCCTCGGTGACTCACTTTCCCTTCTGGGGAGGGTTGGTAAGCTCTCAGTCCTCCAGCTCTCAAGCCCATCTCTTCCACCAGCACCTGCTAGCGGGATCTGTCTCTAACCCAATCCTTTCAATGCAGCCCTCCTCACCCCCGCCCCCATCCTGGTCCAAACTGCCCGAGGAAGAGAAGCGGGGCGGGGTGGAGGGGGAGGTGTCCCCCATGCAACGGGGTGGGCGCCTCTCCTCCGCCCTCCCTAGGGGCCCGCCGCGCTTCTCTGCGGGATTCGCTGTCTCTCACTCGCTGTCAGCCTCTTTCCCGCCCCCTCCCTCTTCCAGCCGCATCAGAAATATATTGTATTCTCACCTAATCCTGTTCAATTACAGCATAATAAAACACATAATAAAAACCTAATTCATTTTTCTCCTGCGCCCCCCCATCTCCCGGCATCTTCTTGCTCGGGATTAAAAATTTGTCTTCATGTTTGTGGCACCGCAGTCCCGGCGCCAACGCATCTTTAATGTATGAGCCGGGAGTTAGGGACCCGCGGGTTCTGCAGTCTTCGCGCCGGGAAGGCGCCCACCAGTCACCTAAGGATGCGGGAGGGGAAGGAGAAAGAAGAGTAGTCCAGCACCGGGCCTTACCAGCATCCACCCGCTCCCTCCCCAGGGATAGAGGCGGATTAAAGGCCAGCAGGTTTCAAGTGACCGCGAGATAGCGCGTCCATTCTTCCAACGGACCCAGCGTGGCCTCCAGGGGGCTTAGTGTAGGGCAGGTCTCTGGGGATTTTACCAAGGAGGCTGGGCTACCTGATGCAGCTCAGCTGAAGGTACAGAGCAGAGCCAGGCAAGGAGGGGACCCTGCTGGCTTCAGCCTCCCTTCTCTCCTTTGCTTCTGATCTGAGCTGACCCCATCAACGCAGCTCTGGCTTCCAATTTTAGCAGCACCATCCCCAGTCCCTAGGGACACTCTACCACCCTCTAATCAGTGTGAACCACTGGATCACTGAAACAAGGTTAGAACTCCCCAGAAGGAATTATTAAGAATTCAGTAAGAGGACTTCCCTAGCGGTCCAGTGGTTGGAAGTCGGCTTGCTAGTTCAGGGGGCATGGGTTCGATCCCTGGTCTGGGAAGATTCTACATGTCTTGGTCAGCTAAGCTCCACACCACTACTAAAGCCTGCAGGCCTAGAATCTGTGCTCTGCAACAAGAGAAGCCACTGCAATGAGATGCCCGTGCACTGCAACTAGAGAGTAGCCACCATTCGCCATGACCAGAGAAAGTCCACACAAGAAATTTAAAAAAAAAAAAAACAGCTTTACTATTAAAAACAAATTTTAAAAATTAAATTTAAATTAATTTTTAAAGAGGAATTCAATAAGAGAAATTTTTCCCACCAAGGCACAGTACTAGGGGAGCTTAGAGAGGGCAAGTCTGAGACCCAAATGCAACCCAGTGATATTCCTTCATTCATCTAGGGCAGGAGTTACCAAATTTTCTACATTAATGGAGCCCTTAGTTTTTCAGGAATTTTTTTCACAGTACTCTAGGCCAAAAGAAATATCTAACAATTCCCTTTAAATACTTAGTTCCACAACAACTTAATATTTACATCCTAACTTCTTTGTGCAGCTGTTTGAAAACCTAACACACATAAATTGGAAGAAAAATAGAATGGTTTTACATTATTCTTAAGTCCGATTATTTACCAATGAATGGAAAGTGTGTGCCTGTTGGGCTCTGCATACCTTCTCAAACCTTGGAATTAGCTTGGATACTGCCATCATTTCCTGTTCCACAGTGACTTTTGTGTAGTTCTTGTTTTTTTGTCATAGCAACCATCAAAAACCCAGTTTTGCAAAGACATCTCTGAAAGTAAGGTTCAGTTCAGTCGCTCAGTCATGTTCAACTCTTTGCGACCCCACGAATCGCAGCACACCAGGCCTCCCTGTCCATCACCAACTCCCGGAGTTTACTCAAACTCATGCCCATCAAGTCGGTGATGCCATCCAGCCATCTCATCCTCTGTCATCCCCTTCTCCTCCTGCCCCCAATCCCTTCCAGCATCAGGGTCTTTTCCAATGAGTCAACTCTTCCAGTGAGGTGGACAAAGTACTGAAGTTTCAGCTTCAGCATCAGTCCTTCCAATGAACACCCAGGACTGATCTCCTTTAGGATGGACTGGTTGGATCTCCTTGCAGTCCAAGGGACTCTCAAGAGTCTTCTCCAGCACCACAGTTCAAAAGCATCAATTTTTCAGTGCTCAGCTTTCTTCACAGTTCA